TTATCTAAATTGTTTGACGTGAAATCTTTATCTAACAAGTTTGGTAAGACTATTCATCCAAATAAGACAAATGGTGTCTTAGATGGAACGTAATTAAAGTGACCGTTCTTGAGTTACAGTACACTGATTTCACACATATAACTCATTCTTTATACAGAAATATAACATACAAATAACTAGTTGGTAACAGAATTTAAGACCGAAGTAATAATAAATTTGCCAGTCCTACAATTGTTTTCATGATTGCTTACAATCGAAAACATTATTTTACACTTTTTTCACTGTTCTTAATAATAAACAACAATGTCGAAATATCAGGAGCTCAGGAAAAATAATTAGGTCCGCACTCGTAGGCAGATGAAGCTGTATACCAAATGGTGGCAGCGCCGAGGTCGTTGATTGAACACGAATGGAAAAATATAGTTGTGAACATTTTTTTTAATGGATAACAATGTAATCTTTCCCCTGCCTGTGCTAACAGTGTACTCTGGCGGGGCACCAGTGGAGGATGATATGTTATGTTAGGTCTAACTGACCATTGTGGCAAATATACCAGGAATTTAATATGATGGTTTCCAAGGGGAATTGCGTGGAGGTCAATCTGATACGGTACATCACATTACTGACAATCCCCTTCCCTCCATGGAATAAAATTGTAAACACAATAATGAAAACCACTCAACATGCGTTGATGTAAACAATGGCGTCATAGATGTGGGTTAAGCAAATAATTCGCTGAAACGATAAGTAAGTTGCAGATAAACTATCTGCCGTTGCGAACCGCAATGACGGCAAGTCCAGGCTTATATCCATAGTTGGAAAGATCATGGTCGCCACTGATTTATTTTTACATTGTTTTAAAACAATTGTGATTTGCATATAATGTTGGATTACGTTGTTTGTGAGGAAGTATGAAGCGTTATCAATGATTTACTAAATATAATTGTAGCGTATATCTTTTGTTTTATTAAGTGTATACAAATTATAATTAGTGATATAGATAGAGAAATAAGCGTCATATACATTTTTCAGCCCATGGAACTCATAATATTCAAATAGAATTCTTAAATCATTGGGCTGTCATAAGACTGACTGTCATTGGTTTTGTAACTTAAATGTGTTCATTAGACGATTAATAAAACAATAGTGATCGTACTTTCAATGAATAAATAAAAGTAAAAAATAATATAATAGAGTTAATTGACAAAATACAAATAGAAATAAAATAGAAATCATCCCAAATATTCAATAAATACAATCGACACCTGCAATAAGAAAATCAAATAGAATTACTAATATATTTATATAGATTAAAAACGTAGGTGGTTAGGCTAAAGCCATTTCTTAATATGAAAAACCAGTAGGATGTTAATATGAGTAGGTTGTTATAACAATGCAATGCATTTGTAATGACAGCTCCTAAAGTGCTCTACCATATTTGGTGTGTTATAGAATTCCCTTAAATGATCTCAGAAATAAAGTAGAATTATCGTCGGGCGTCGGCTGATCACAAATTGATTACGTACGTCATTACGCGCTACGTGTCTCTGAAACGCGTTTACGTGAGACCATTCCCACTTTTTGTCGTTTGCATGCCGCTCTGTTATTTGTCGTAGCCTATCTTGATAAATATAGCATGACATGCTTCACTAAATAAAGTAAGGTATAAGTAATAAAAAGTATAGAAAAATGTGAGGCTCTTATTTATTTTTAAGCTACGTTAGAAGTAGGTTTGTGATATTAAAAGCTGTATAATAAGTTCATAAAAAAAAAAAACAAATATTAAGTATACAAGATCTAGCGAATTAAAATCTTAATTATGTAATGCATGTTAAAAATATATAATTATTTTTCAAGAATAGGCCTCGTGCGTAACTTTGAAATGTTGCCAGTGAAATAAATTGGTCTATTGAAATTAAGTACCGCGGCGTGCGCAGAGCATACCATTATTACGGATTATCCCATAATTACGGAAACAAGCCGTTGAACTATAAATTGATGAAACAGTAACGTACCTTTCGTAAAATTTTATCATGTACTTAGTAATTTTTTGCACAATCAAGAAAATCAGTTTGTGGAACGAGTCTCTATTTGGCCGAAGGAGCTCTTTAGATCTTTGCTACGAATTTGTACCTTCACATTAGCTTGTTTTTTCAGTAAGTCACTGCATTTTGTATCTTCCGTCTTTGTTTTAAGGCTGACCATTGCCATGTATGTGGAATTTGTTTATTTGAAACGGCAATGTATGTTATAATGTTATGGCAGGATGGGTTTGTCACGCGCGAGGTTTGCAAGGGTGAATGCACTTAGCAAATGCGCTCGTGCTAAACTAAATCTTTGTATTTGAGTGTTTTGAGTAAATGATTATGTCTTCCTAGTTACAGCCACTGTTACTAATGTTTCTTGTTACTACTTAATCATCATCATCATTTCAGCTTATTGTCATATTATTAGACTTTTGCACGTTGATGACGTAAGGCCATTTACCTTTACCTTGTCATTACAAGAAATATTATTTACAAAAATAAATAAATGACCCAATTCTACACTGAAAACAATTAACCTATGCAGCAAAGTAATTTAATTAAAATGTCAATATATGTATGTGTATATATACTTAAGGTTATAATACATCTCTGTTAGCATAGTAATTTATCTGTATTTGAATAGAGACAAAACTGTAACATGATCTTTGATGTCTGTATGATATCTCCAAATAATAATTATTTATATACCTAATTACATCATATAATTGTTGGTGTAATTGGTAAATAATATTATCTTACTTAAGCTATAAAAATTAAAAGAATTTTTAAATCCTTTCAACACGAAGAGCACTCACATTTATTTTTCTTTTCTTAGTAACACAAATTAAGTAGTTAAATTTACGTATGAAATATGTTTGAAAATACAATTAATAATTCCATTTTCAAAATCAATTTTACAGTTACCGGTTTTGACGGCCTCGTTGGTCTAGTGGTTTAGCACATCGACTTATTTCCAAGGGTCGCAGGTTAGACAAATAGCGGAAACATTGGTATTCATGAGTATGATTATTTATATTGTCTAGGCATTTCTTATGTGTTTAAGTATTTACGAGTATATCAGTTGTCTCGTACCCATAACGCAAGCGCTGTCTAGTTTGGGACTATATGGCGCTGCGTGAATTGTCCTGGGTTATCTTCATTATTAGTTTGGTATATATATGTTTAACCACAGACTGTGTGTCTGCTGTTTTTTTATTGGTTTCTCCATACCATGTTTAGCTAGTTACGTGTGAAAAAATTGAATATTAACGACCACAACTTATTTTCATATTTTACACCAATTATTTTTAAAAAGTAGGCGAAATTTCTATGTACATTTTAATATTAAATGTTTATTACGCGTGACTACATATCGTAAAAGTGAGAGGTCAATCACTTTAGGTGCAGTATTTAGCGTGAACAATTGCGAAAATAATTTAAATAACTGACCGGTGATTTGTAATAATACATTTGACTAAACTGTAATCCGTTTGGAATTGACGACGTAGCAAATACAGAAGAAATGTTCGGTAATCTTATCAAATCAAATAAAGAATCGTTTATTAATGTAGGACATTTTAGGCGCTTACAAACGTCAAGTTTATATATATATATATATATTTTTTTTTTCATTAATACTATGCTCATGCTTGGTCATGGTCACTCCGAAGTTATAATTTTTTACCTATGTTTACGCCAGGTACGGTGAGGATGACATCAACTTTTCCTTCATCCCCATTTGATTTTATAGGTTTGCCAATATGAAATCGCTATTCTTATATATTTGTGTTTCTGTAGGGCGTCCATTTTTGAAGCCTTGTGTCGATCTCATTACTAGGTAACGATTGCTCATATTTTATCACACCGTGTTATTCCAAGCATCTTATTTCCCATAGTTCGTAGAGCTACTTAAAAGTTGACGTCGGAGGGAACATCAATTACATAGGGGCTGGTTAGATCAGGCAATTGCGGTAGTTAGATCAAGCATAGAGATTGAAGTAGCAGATTATTGGAGCGGTGTGCTATGCGCATTATATTACTGAACTAACCTCAAGTTTTTAGATCGTGTAATCGGTGCTTAATGTAATAGTCGTAACAACTACAAATACAAATTCAAAATATCTTTATTCATATAGGTCTCTCACAGACTCTTATTATATGTCAAATCTACCATTAGTTCGCAATTATTTCGAGATGAGAAGAACTGACAAGAAACTCTGCTCTTTTTATTATTCTTTTCAAATAATTGTTACAATAATACAGATTTATTTTTAAATTCAAATTTGGGAGAGTAGAGTTTCCAGCATATGCTATTGCAAAAGCAAATAGTCTAACAGTGATTGAATTTCTAATATGGTAAATAGTAATAACAAAAGTTTATCTAAATTGTGGTATACAACGCAGGACAAATTAGTCATCTGGAATGGAAACGCATGCAACATGATAATGTGATATCACGGATGCAACATGATAATGTGATGTATAAACATGTACAGGGGCGACGGTTACCGCTTATCATCTATTGAGTCGTCAGCTTGTTTAACATTCCAATTTCATAAAAAAAACTTACATCACAGAGTTGACGAGATTATATTGGACTATAGTAATAGAAATAATCTTTATTCAAATAAACTTAATATTATATAACCACTTTTGAGTAGTATTTTTTTTTATTTTACCACTCATTTGGAACGCAGACTCATCACAAGAAGAAGGGGCAAGAAATTTATGCTACGGCTTACGGCTACGTGTTGTTCTATTGGATCTATCCAATCTATCTATATGATATATTGGATCAGACCTAGATTTTTGAGATATAAATATAGGATTGAAAATAATTAACAAAAATCTAATTTGCTGCATTATCGATCTAAGATATCGCATAGTATTTAATGAGATTCTCTTGGATGATCTTTATATTAAGATTTTCCAGACATCACAATTGTGTAATTAGTCATATATTTTTTGTTGCAGATGACATTACCAGAGAGGAAGTAAACTCAGAAATAAAGGTATGTATGGCTTTATACATGTATATTTATATATATGAAATTTTTCCTTAATGATTTGTAAAAACATATTGCGAATAATAACAATATCTCTGGACAATTCATATACAAATATATTTATATCCTGATAAATTAACTCTTAAGTACAAAATTATGTGGAAGAGGACACTGACTTCTAAAACATAAGTATTTTCTATTCCTACCTCAGAAGTCAGGGACTTCATAAATTATTAGTATAAATTTTGTGAAATAAAAAAATATATAATTATTATTATAAATTTAAAATTTTAATAAAGTGTTTCAGATTTATATTAATGCAATAGATTCGATGCTATCAACGTCGCTATCGCGTCAATAGTGTGTTACCACCGAAACAGTTATTTTTGTTATTATTTTATAATAATATAATTATTATATAGTATAATTACGTCATAAAGTTGCTAATAAAAATAAAAATATAGTATTAATTTTTATTTTTTTACAAATGAATTTCTTATCATATTAGATAAATTATTCAGCAGAATTACATTTAACTCGCTTCGAAATATTTAAAATAACGATTCATTTGTCGCATTAATGATGTTTATATTTTCTTTAAGTGAAAGGTTTGAATAATTCTCATACGTACAAAGCAAATAACATGTATGAAATGTTAATTCAGGCGAGTAATATGCAAACAAAGTTCTAAGCGATGCAAAAACTGGAATTCGAGATTATGAACATGCAAAAAACAACCTGCATTAACCTCAAGTAAACTTGTAAGCGAGTGGACTGACCTCGTCGTAATTTGAATTGGAATAGGTGACCCAACTTAACTATTACATAATCTATATGATTAGGAAATAATTAAATTAGTTAAAACATATTGATTTTATGAAAGCGAAAGTTTATTAGTATAGGTTGATTTTTGCTTATCTTTCAATGCACAAGATTAACACATATTATATGAAAATATCAGAATAACGCTATATATACATATAATTAATGGTTAGTAAATTAATAACAATTATCGATACCCTGTCCAATTGAAACGGGGATCGTAATTACGATGGTCTGAGTCGAAGTTCGAACCCCTAGCGGTGCCTTCAGACTAAACTCGTATCCATCAGGCGAGAGTTGACCTTCAGCCACTCCATAAGTGCTTCCGCGGGTTTGGCGTGTCATCTGCAATCCACCTCTATCCGGTGAAGCTGTTAAGGCTAGCTGCGGACAACAGAATTAGAGTAGTGCGAAAAAAAAAATTGTAAACAACACATACCCTTACGACTATTATCCTAAATAGCGTAGACAGAAGTATTGTTTACTGTCGCTGTTGTGGTGAACGCAACACTTGAAATTCTCACATTTCATTCGGTATATTTTGAATATGTTTGCAAACTATTTCACAATAAATGAGGAAACTAGGAATTATATGATAAGATTAGTACTAATATTCTTAAAATTTGTGTGTAACAAACATATTATTATATATTTACAGTGTTTATGTAAGCAGATTAGATATTTATTAACCAAAGTATTATAGAATTACGATAGGCGACGTTCCATGTCTGTCAAGTCTAAACTATGATATTTCTAATCAAATTCTAATAGCTATCGTATGTTGTTTGGCAAACGTAGGTAGTAAACAAATATCACAACATGTTACTGTTAACTTGGTAGGTATTTATGGGACAGAATGTTTATATACTGACATTACTCTGAGCTGATATTTATTGAACATTGAGCCGGAAGTACCATCGGTGTCGTGTATGTAGGACGCTGTGTTCCTTTGCATAAAAATTTATTAACTACATCCGATAGTTAGCTTTACTTGTATTTCTTTTGATTCGCGTAAAAAAAAGAAAGTCCTTCTTACAAGCTTTCTGATAGTATATAGTCAAGTCTTGTGAGTAACTTTTAAACCAATTTCCCCATCAGTTAACAATAGAATGAGAATAATCTTTCTATAATAATAATTTATTTGACTAATTGTTTCTTTAAAAACGGTTAAAATCCGGGACTGATTTTAATAGTTCTTTCACTGTCTGTAAAGGTACTTTATTCTGCAATGATATAGGCTAGGATATAGATACATATTATGTTTAAAGATAAAAAAAATAACTAAGTTACGAGCACCCGAACAAAGCCGGAGGGGGAAATGGTTTTGGTTTTGTAATTTTATATATAGGCTCACAGTGCGTGAAAATTATGCGGTTACGTAAAAACATGTGTATTAAAATACTTGATACCATTTTGTAATTAATCTTACTAAAACTTACGTATTCTACAGAAAAAATATTTATTCTTGTATGTTGAGTGAACATGTGTTTACTTTGTGGCTTTAAGTGCACGTGTATTGTTGGTTCATAAGTGTTTTTTGCAACCGGTACCCTAATTGCACCGTCATATTTGTCTATGACCTATGACTTTTATTTTGCACACAAATAGGGTTGTCTCTAAAATATTATTATATTATAACCTTTTTAATTGAGATCCAATAACAAAGTTATAAATATGCTTAATTTGTTTAAAATAGTATTATTAGTTTTACCTATAGTTTTTTTGCAATGGAATCGTTCTCTCGCCACAGGTCCATAGTAGGATGAGAATGAAATCAGTTCAAGTAGGTTAATTTGGGGATTTTACTGGAAATTAACCACGATGATTTCCCATGATGATCGTGAGGTGTTTGACTTCAATCAGTACATATTCATAAAGGGACCAAAGAATCCATAACTCTTAATCTCTATTCCTTTTATTAGAGTTACCTCTTACTTTAGGGTTAATGCAAATACCTGTGGTAGGGTGTGTGTATTTACATTACCAATTGTTCCTGACCAGGTTAATGGTTATGGGGTATGACGAATGGTGATTTAAGATGCTGTTAGCCGTAGTAGATGCGCTCGCGCACGTTCGCTAAACAAACCGCAAGGAACGGTACAATCGATAATAAAAATGACTGATAATTTTCACCACTACTAATTCTTGTTAGCGGATTAGATTAGTAAAAAATGTGGGACTTCTCTATTCGTTATTACTATGCCACTTTTATACGATTTCTTATCAAAGTAAATAATTTTTACATTACCTTTCGCGTCTTGAGTTTGTTCTTTAATATTTATTAAATCAATTTCAGTATTAGTGATAATTGCCCTCCCTTCTGTCATAGTTGGTTTACATTTAAATTTCGTGTTTAAAACTAAAATTAAATTGGTATGTCACAAACTGTTAGGACTCCTCCTAAGAGGCTGGGAGGAGTCTTAGATTTGATTTTGTGTTTTTTGCACAAACTTGTAACTCCTTCAACTCCTTATCCCAGTTTGTCTACTACTTCCCTAACGTCAGACGTAATTATAGGATCCTCCTTAAAGTTATGAATTTGTGGCGTTTTGTTTTAGAAAGACACAAAGCAAATCCTGTAATGACTGAATTAGGCATGAAGAATAGTCGGAATTTCAAAACGGTGGTATTAGAATTATAACCATTTCATAGAAAGGCATACTTATGACATTCATGCCCATAAGTGTATTAGCTTTTGTGGTCGATGGTACCAGCACATGTGAGTTACGATAAAGACAGTGACCACCGCCGTCCGTCAAAGTGATCAATGCGCGGTTCGTTCGTGAGAAATCCGGTCTATCGCTGACAGTACGATATTTATGAATACCACTTGTTTAATGTTGAGATAACTTGATCTTGTTTGCAGTTGTTATCTGTTAATTGAATTACACCGTAAATTTCCTTCTAACTGGGTTTCTATCCTGTACTATAACAATAATAATAAGCCAGGACATTTCACATTGCACCATCTAGTCCTAAGCTTAGCAGAGTTTGTGTTATGGGTACTTAAATACATATACTTATTATACATAGAAAACACTCAAACCAATACAGACAATCATACTCATGAATACAAATATTTGTACTGTCCGAGGAATTGAACCACGACCACAGAATTAAGGCGGTGTGCTACAGCGCTAGAGTTCTATATATGAATTTCAAATTAGACTTGTGTATCTGGCCCCCTTTGTTCAAAACTTGCAGGTGGTTTGCCGAGGTTGAGAAGGAAAAAGAGCGAGCTAAATTAGAGATAACAAACAAACAGAGTAAGTATAGTGATTAAAATTGTCATTTATAAGTAAGTTGAAGTTGAAGTTTTGGTGCCGTGCACCAACAATATACAAATTACTAAAAATTCTATACATCCCGAACATTCGATGGTAGAAAACGTGTAACAGCATTTTGAAAGTAGTCAGTACTATTCATTAATGTCTATTAATCTGTCCGTTTGTACAGCTTCTAATGGATGGATGTATTCCCCATACAGCATTTTAATGAAGCTTCTTAATATATTGACAGCCAATACTGCAAGTATTGACTTTACGTAGCTTGTGCTTTCAATCAGAGAAAGTAGCAGATACTCTAGGGTGAGTGTAGAAATTTTAATTTGATATAAATAAGAAAACGTTAATTACTTCCATCATCACTTAACTATTATCATGTTATCATAATACTACTTGCATTATTAACAGACACTGAGATTAATGGAAACAGATGTAATGACGAATGAAATGCATATTGCTGAGATTGCGTCCATGATTAAATGAGTTAGGAATTAATGAAAAAAAATATATTTAAAATATCTTCGTATCAGTATTATATATAGATTAGTAGTATATTACTAGTGAATTTATTTTATACTAAAGACTAAAACTAATCCATACTGTTATAACTGCAAAAGTGTGTCTACCCGTCTGTTTATTTATTAATTACGTTTACACAAATAAATAGATCATAATGAATAGTGACGTGAAGATAAATTGTATCACAAGGATCGACTTGGTGTTTTATATTAAAAAAAAAACATAAAAAGTCGCGAGAGATAACTAGTATGTAATAAAAAGGGAATCGCCCTTCGATGAGGGTAAAGAAATAAATTACATCCTAATTGTAATTCAACAGAGTAAAAAAAGTGTTGGTGTTTTGTGGGACAACTGCTGGGTGGCGTTCTACTTCGATTATAT